TTGCCTATTGGGCAAAGGATCGAAGAAAAATTGGCAGAGTCGCTTTTCAATTGTCGAACTGGCAATAATGTGAAGTTCTCAGGGCTCAGTCCCAGCCTGAAAACAGAAGATGGGTCTGAACTCTGGCTCAGATTAAGCCCTTGCATTCCACCCCCTCGCTTTCCTTTAGAGCAGAGGTTGCCAACGTGGTGCCCTCCAGGTAATGTTGTACCTCTGAGAGCCAGTATGGTGTTGTTGTAAACAAAAACCGCCCTTTTTCCCTTATGGGGTATCCAAGAGCCCATATAGAGTCCTTACGTAGGTTCCCTGTTGGTAGAAGAAAATAGCAGAGGCCTACCAGAGAATATTGAGAAGCAAAGCAGCTAGTAAGCCTGATCTTTATTGATCTGTTGCAACAGGGTGCTTCCCTCACACGCAGGAAAGGAGGAGGAACTCAGAACAATGGCGCGCAAAGCCTTATATAGACATTTTAAATTCCCTGCCCTGGAGCTCAAGACCACCCCTCCATGCATCATACATACATCACAGAAGGGGTGTAACCTAAGACCACCCCCTAGATACCTACATCACAGAAAAGGTGGTCTAAAACAGAAATTTAAATGTTGTTTATCTCCTGTCTGGCAGGTTACTGTACTTGATTGGATACCATTCTTACTTGATTGGATTGCCTGGGGAGCCTGGCCAGTCTTTTGTAATGATAAATACTTAGTTCCTGGTCAGGTCACAGGCTCACACCCTATTCATATCTTAAAGGTAAAGGGTAAAGGGACCCCTGACCATTAGGTCCAGTCACGGACGACTCTGGGGTTGCGGCGCTCATCTTGCTTTATTGGCCGAGGGAGCCGGCGTGCAGCTTCCGGGTCATGTTGCCAGCATGCCTAAGCCGGTTCTGGCGAAACCAGAGCAGCACATGGAAATGCTGTTTACCTTCCTGCCAGAGCAGTACCTATATATCTACTTGCACTTTGACGTGCTTTCGAACTGCTGGTTGGCAGGAGCAGGGACCGAGCAATGGGAGCTCACCCCGTCACGGGGATTTGAACTGCCAACCTTCTGATTGGCAAGCCCTAGGCTCTGTGGTTTAACCCACAGCGCCACCCGTGCCTCAATTCATATCTTAAATATGCCCTTAAGACAGGATTTGTGAAGGAAAAAGACAATGGGGAGGTTTCCTACTTGGACCTTGCAGAGAAATAATTGAGGTCAATTTGTTCAGGACTTTTTTTCTGTGGGGTTTTCAGACATGTGGTTCATATATCTATGTACTTGTTTGCTTGGTACACTTATGAACATTTAACATATATCTAAGACCTCAAAATTCCTATCACAGTGTAGTGTTTGGCATGTCAGACAAAGGTCTTGGGAGATCAGGGTTCAAATCTACACTTGGCCATGAAGCTCACTGGGTGACTTTGAGCCAGTCATGGCCTCTCAGCCTGACCTACCTCACAAGGTTGTTGTGGGGATTGCAGGAGGAGCACCAGGAATGAGACTCCTGCATTGCAGGGGGTCAGTCTGGATGACCCTCCGGGTCCCCCTGCAATTCTTTGTACTCCACCTTAAGCTCCTTGTGGGGAAAGGTGGGATATATTGTGTTTTATTGCATTTACAGCTGCGCTGGCTAAAGGCTGGCGGGACTTGGAGTGCATGCTCTGGTTATCTCCCGCTTGGACTACTGCAATGCGCTCTATGTGGGGCTACCTTTGAAGGTGACCCGGAAACTACAACTAATCCAGAATGCGTCAGCTAGACTGGTGACTGGGAGCAGCTGCTGAGACCACATAACACCGGTCTTGAAAGACCTACATTGGCTCCCAGTACGCTTCCAAGCATAATTCAAAGTGTTGGTGCTGACCTTTAAGGCCCTAAACGGCCTCGGTCCAGTATACCTGAAGGAGCGTCTCCACCTCCATCGTTCTGCCCGGACACTGAGGTCCAGCGCCGAGGGCCTTCTGGCGGTTCCCTCGCTGCGAGAAGTGAGGCTACAGGGAACCAGGCAGAGGGCCTTCTCGGTAGTGGCACCCACCCTGTGGAACGCCCTCCCACCAGATGTCAAAGAGAAAACAACTACCAGACTTTTAGAAGACATCTGAAGGCAGCCCTGTTTAGGGAAGCTTTTAATGTTTAATAGATTATTATATTTTAATATTCTGTTGGAAGCCGCCCAGAGTGGCTGGGGAAACCGACTATAAATAATAAATCATTATTATTGTTGTAGTATATGGAGGGCACCACCTTGACTATTCCCAGAACATCCTGCGGCCGCTACAACAAAAGACAAGTTTTGGTAGTACGCAAAGCACTCACCCCATTACATTTCCTCCCCCCCCCCCAATTTGCTTTGCTCATGCTCCAGGGTTGACATGCTTCTGTGGTCAGGAAGTAATTTCCTCCTGGGTCAAGCTAGCAGTGACCCTTGGGGCTTATTGGCTTCCCAATCCCATCTCTGCTTGCATGAGTCATCCCACGCTATTTGCCGACTAAGCACTTTCCTGCTGCTCCTTCCGAGCGCAACACGTACCTACCCCTGGCTGACGTTGACCAGGGACGGTTCTGGTTTTCCGATGCCATGCAAGCAACAAGAGCGAGCTGCAGATGGTCAGTTTCGTTCTCTCCAATGGTCCCCTGTGGCCAGCAAGCTAGGTTTTATTTTATTTTATTTTTAAGCCTTCTGACAAGCAGACTGGTGGAGGTGCGACAAAGCGATCTGTTATGGGGCAAGACCAAAGCTACATCCGAATCAGCAAACAGCACGACAAATTCAAAGATGTGACAAGTTCTCTGCACTAAAACAGAAATAGCCAGGGCCCCTCCAGACATCCTTTTTACAGTGTACTCATGATCTGTGTGAGGGACATGGGGCGTGGGTGGCGCTGTGGGTTAAACCACAGAGCCTAGGACTTGCCGATCAGAAGGTTGGCGGTTCGAATTCCCGCAACGGAGTGAGCTCCCGTTGCTTGTCCCTGCTCCTGCCAACCTAGCAGTTCAAAAGCACGTTAAAGTGCAAGTAGATAAATAGGTACTGCTCTGACGGGAAGGAAAACGGCGTTTCCGTGTGCTGCTCTGGTTCGCCAGAAGCAGCTTAGTCATGCTGGCCACATGACCTGGAAGCTGTACACCAGCTTCCTCGGCCAATAAAGCGAGATGAGCACCGCAACCCCAGAGTCGGCCACGACTAGATCTAATGGTCAGGGGTCCCTTTACCTTTACTTTACATGATCTGTGTCCACGATGCTATTATTACACGCAATCCTGCTTTCAATACTGTTTGGGCCTGCAGAAGTTTTGGGGCAGTCACAGGGCCAGATTTAGGTTTGATGCGGCCCTAAGCTACTGAAGGTAATGGGGCCCTTTATATGTCCAGCTGTCCTTTGTCAACAACAAATTGTCGCTGTTAGAAATGAACAAACCAGTGACATTTTAGGGAGCAGACTAGCAGGCAGAGCCCATTTCTTACATCACAGGAGCCTACGCAACACAAAACACCGTTGCTGTATGTCGGTTTTATTTTGTTTGTTTTTTATCTTATATTTCGGAAATGTACATCCAGTTTTTCCCCCTGTAAATTTTGTGGGGGCCTAAGCTATAGCTTGTTTAGCATACATAAATCCAGCACTGGGCAGTCAAACTGCTTCATCTCCAGTCACTTCCTGCGGAAATCCCACAACTTTTAACACCGCAAACTTTCTAGTTTACTTTTTCTTCCGCTTTTGTTGCCCTATAGCCCCTTCCGGACAGGGATAGCGTCATAGCATTGGGGAAGCATCGCTGGAACAAACCAGAGCAGAAGAAACCCACCGCTAATTAGCTGTGATTTCCTGCATTCCAGGGGGTTGGCCTAGACCCCTTCCAGCTTGGCAATTCTGTGATTGTGTAGCGCACTATCCTTGTGTCAGAAATGCGTTGCAGAATACAACCACGGTAAAACATCAGCCTAGAGGGACCCCCACACTGGCCAGCTCATGTCACAAACAGAAGCAGGCTACAGACACCTATGAACAAACCCAACCCTCCTTTTTATAATTTATCAGTACAGTGTCATCTCAGTTCCTGTATATAGACTTCAGGTTTATGTTAGAAGCAGAGAAAGGCCTGGACGACCAAGAGAAGGAATCAAATTGCAAAGTCCCCCAAATCTGCAGAACTGTTGCACAACCAAGTACAGTGGTACCTTGGTTCTCAAACGTCTTGGTTCCGGAACACCGAAAACCCGGAAGTAAGTGTTCTAGTATATGAACGTTTTTCGGAAGCCGAACGTCCGATGCGGCTGTTGGCTATTGTTTCTGGGGCGCCTGCACCAATCAGAAGCTTCGCCTTGATTTTCGAACATTTCGGAAGTCAAACGGACTTCCGGAACGGATTAAGTTTGGTGCTTTTTTTTTTTGCTATTTATTTTGCGTTTTTGTTTTTGAGGCTTTTTCTGTTAACTTGTTTTTGTGAAAGTGTGGAACCTAGTTCAGCTACTGACTGATTGATTGATTGATTGATTGATTGATTGATTGTATGGCTGCAGAAATGAATAAAAGTCCCCCCCCATCCAAACAATGACTATCATCAGTGCAGGGAAGAAAAAATAATAATTGTATTTTTTATCATCTACAATACCATCTTATTTTATAGTAAAGCACATTGATTATTGCTTTCATTTTATGGACCAATGGCCTCGTTAGATAGTAAAATTCATGTTAAATTGCTATTTTAGGGGTTGTTTTTAAAAGTCTGGAACGGATTAATCCATTTCGCATTACTTTCTATGGTAAAGCGCACCTTGGTTTTGGAACGCTTTGGTTTTGGAACGGACGTCCGCAACAGATTAAGTTTGAGAACCTGGGTACCACTGTAGCTGCCCTGTAATTACTGAGAGAGATCCGAGCTCTTCAAGCGGTTTTTGCAGAGAGGTGCGGTGAGCAGCAGGGATCAAAATTCACAGCACACACTTCCAAGCAACAAAGCAGCCTATTAATCATAGGCAAGAAAGTGGCAATTCTTGACACATTCTGGGAGTGCAGATTCTTGTCCAGCCCTTGGCAAGGACTAATCGTTTTATTTCTTTTAATGGCGGAAGATAATATAGTACTAGGGGCGATCTATAACACTTCGCAGTGGGATTTGAAACTGCCTAAGGCAATTCTATATGCACACTTTTTCTTCTGGGGAGCTCGAGAGATTGGCTGTAAGATTTTTTTCGGTGACCTCCTGGGTGGTCTAGCCTCCTTCTGCTGCAAACTTGAAACGTCGGCTTGTTTCTGTTTTCCAGAATGTGATCCTGGAGAGGGATGCTAAGTTGGGAGCAAACACAACGTACATGCTCGCTTCATGGTTCTAACAATGTCATGTCTGCAGCGTTAGAATGATTGGGAAGCCATCCGTGCCTTGATTTCCCTTGTTGGTGGCTTGTGAAAAGCAATTCCGTCAGAGATAAGAAGGAAGGAAGGAGAGAGTCCAGATCTACCTGGGAAAGCAAGGCCAGGTCTCTTCCGAAACTGCTCCTTCTTCAGCCAACTCTTGCAAAGTCTTAGGGAGAGAGCAGACGATCTGGGCTGTGATGATGCCAAGAGATTGGTCCAGGCTTTCTGAGACACTGAGTACAGGGCTACTCTGAGCTTGGAGAAGCAGCTGAGTCCATGTCTTCCAGGCTGTGGTCCTGGGGTGACACCGGCTGCCCACCTTTCACACGTTTCCATTTCATCCTGCGGTTCTGAAACCACACTTTGACCTGTGCGAGAAGAGGGAGAGGATTAAGGTGAGCTTGCATGCATGCAAACACAGCCCTTGCAAATTCACACTTTTCCGAATTTTGCAATGCGGTTCTCTAGCCACATGTCCCCCCAAAAAATTGCACCGGCTAGGGTCGAGTGTGTATAAGACTGCATGTACAGTGGTACCTTGCTTCTTGAATTTAATCGTTCTGGGAGTCCATTCGACTCCCGAAAAGGTTCAAAAACCAAGGCACGGCTTCCGATTGGCTGCAGGAACTTCCTGCACTCAATCGGAAGCCGCGTTCGGACGTCCGGCTTCCAGAAAACGTTCGCAATTCTGGGTCTGCGGTGTTTGGGAGCCAATTTGTTTGGGAGCCAAGCCGTTTGACTACCAAGGTACCACTGTATTAGCGAATATAAATCATGCATCACATTAAGGGAAATTGCTTGCAAGAATGTTCGTATTGAGAGAAATCTGGACTGAATAGTTGTTGAATTTACAGTGGTACCTCGGGTTACATACACTTCAGGTTACATACACTTCAGGTTACAGACTCCGCTAACCCAGAAATAGTACCTCGGGTTAAGAACTTTGCTTCAGGATGAGAACAGAAATCATGCTCTGGCGGTGCGGCGGCAGCAGGAGGCCCCATTAGCTAAAGTGGTACCTCAGGTTAAGAACAGTTTCAGGTTAAGAACGGACCTCTGGAACGAATTAAGTACTTAACCTGAGGTACCACTGTACACTTGTTTAACTTGCGCCATTTCAACCATACACAGTTGAAGACAAACTGGTTGTAATTGTGCCAATTACAGTCATACCTCCATTTACAAAACCCTCTGGTTCTGTAAACTTCGGGATGCAGGCGCGGCAAACCCAGAAGTATTTTACTGGGTTTCGCCGGGCGTGCATGTGCAGAAGCAGTCTGCGCATGCGCAGAAGCGGTCCTCAGGTTGCGGAAACCTCAGGATCCGACCGGACCTCTGGAACGGATCCCGTCTGCAACTGGAGGTACCACTGTAAATGCAAACAAGGCAGAGAACTTGGAAGCACTGAGGATTCCCTCTCTTCCCCTCACCCACTAGCCTTGGGGGCAGCTCAAAGGCTATGGGTACATGCCGTTTTTGTGAATATGTGGAACACTGGGAACTGAACCCCCAAGTAAGATGCAAATGTGGAGAACTGAGTTTCAGGCTGGTGAAATGAGAAAAAGAGCAGACCTGAAATTCACAGATTCACCTATTCCCATTTTCAGCTCTGTGATTCTATATAGGAGTGGCTGTCAAGACCATACAACACAGGCCCTGAAAGACCTACAGTGGTTCCCAGTACATTTCCAAGCACAATTCAAAGTGTTGGTGCTGATCTTTAAAGCCCTAAATGGCCTCAGCCCAGTATACCTGACGGAGCGTCTCTACCCTCACTGAGGTCCAGCACTGAGGGCCTTCTGGCGGTTCCCTCACTGCCAGAAGTGAGGTTACAAGGAACCAGGTAGAGGGCCTTCTCAGCAGTGGCGCCCACCCTGTGGAACGCCCTCCCATCAGATGTCAAGGACATAAACAACTATCTGACTTTTAGAAGACATCTGAAGGAAGCCCTGTTTAGGGAAGTTTTTAATGTTTGATGTTTTGTCGCTTTTTTATATATTCTGTTGGGAGCCGCCCAGGGTGGCTGGGGAAACCCAGCCAGATGAGTGGGGTATAAAGAAGTAGGAGAAGAAGACGAAGGAGGAGGAGGAGAAGAAGGAGGAGGAGGTGTTGTGTTGGGTGAATTCGCCTTGTGATTGTGGGGTTTGTTTTTTGTTTTTGGTAAATGAATCAGTGTACAGTGGTACCTCGGGTTACAGATGCTTCAGGTTACAGATGCTTCAGGTTACAGACTCCGCTAACCCAAAAATGTACCTCTGGTTAAGAACTTTGCTTCAATATGAGAACAGAAATTGCGTGGCGGCAGCGGGAGGCCCAGTTAGCTAAAGTGGTACCTCAGGTTAAGAACAGTTTCAGGTTAAGAACGGACCTCCGGAACGAATTAAGTTCTTAACCGGAGGTATCACTGTATATGCTATATGATAATTTATGGACCCTAATAGGTATCTAAAGCCATTTGCACATGCAGAATGTAGGCACCCTATATCTAGAACGGACCTCCGGAACGAATTAAGTTCTTAACCCAAGGTAGCAAATGAACATTCACGCAATATTTTCCCTCTCCTCTCCACCATTGTCTCCAGGCATCGTTGCCCAAAGCTGGAGGGGAGGCTGCCCAGCCTCAAGGGGCCGCTGGAGCAGAGGAGCTTCACCTGTCTTTCCGTCAAGTCGAGGTTCACTGCAATCTCGTATCTCCGGAGCCTCGTCAGGTAGTTGTGGTGTGCAAATTCCGCCTCCAGCTCCCGCAACTGGTCCTTAGTGAAGGCGGTGCGTTCCTTCCTTGCTTTGGAGCTGCTGACTTCTGCTTTTGTGCTGCTGCTGCTGCCCCCGCCACCTGTGTCCTGGCTTTCTGGAAGAGGGAAAGGACAGAAACATTCCTTGTGGAAGTAAAGTGAGCCCACTAGGGGAAAGAGAGGGACGCGGGTGGCGCTGTGGTCTAAACCACAGAGCCTGGGTCTTGCCGATCGGAAGGTCAGCAGTTCGAATCCCTGTGACAGGGTGAGCTCCCGTTGCTCAGTCCCTGCTCCTGCCAACCGAGCAGTTCAAAAGCACGTCAAAGTGCAAGTAGATAAATAGGTACCACTCCGGAGGGAAGGTAAACGGCGTTTCCGTGTGCCGCTCTGGTTCACCAGAAGCAGCTTAGTCATGCTGGCCACACAACCCGGAAGCTGTCTGCGGACAAACGCCAGCTCCCTCAGCCAGTAAAGTGAGATGAGCGTGGAACCCCAGAGTCGTCCACAACTGGACCTAATGGTCAGGAGGTACCTTTACCTTTCAGAGGAAAGAGAATTGGCATGGTTCAAGAACCGCAATACCTGAAGGACCGCCTCTCTCCATATGAACCGACCCAAACCCTATGACCATCACCTGAGGCCCTTCTTCGCATGCCTCCTCCACGAGAGGTCTGAAGGGCGGCAACACAAGAATGGACCTTTTCTGCAGTGGCTCCCCATTTGTGAGATGCTCTCCCCAGAGAGGCTCGCCTCACGCCTTCATTACATATCTTTAGGCGCCAGGTGAAAACATTTCCCTATAAACAGGCCTTTGGCCAATTAACCTTCTGTTATTTTACATGTATTTGTGTGGGGGATATTTGTTGGTTTCTGTTCTTGTTTTTATTATGTACCGTATTTTTCGCCCTATAGGACGCACTTTTTCCCCTCCAAAAATGAAGGGGAAATGTGTGTGCGTCCCATGGGGCGAATGCAGGCTTTCGCTGAAGCCTGGAGAGCCCCACCGCCAGCCCCACAAGCTCGGGGGACAGTGGGGAGGTGCAGCGTGCCATCCCGCTGTCTCCCGACGTGGTTTGGAGGCTGACGGAGGGCTTCCCCCTCCCCCAGCCGCAAGCTCCCAGAGCGATGCTGAAGCTGCCCGCAGCTTCGGCATCGCTCTGGCTCCCGTTCTGGGTGCTGGGGTCGGGGGAAGCTCGGGCTTCCCCCGCCCCAGCCCCGCGCCTGGGGGGGGGAAATAATTTTTTCCCCTTTATTCCCCCCCCCAATCTAGGTGCGTCCTATGGGCCGGTGCGTCCTATAGGGCGAAAAATACGGTATTTTGTGTTCTCGTTTTGTATTTTTATGCTGTGAACTGCCCTGTGATCTCCGGATGAAGGGCAGCATACAGATCCAATAAATACATTATTAAATAATGAAAGGAATGCAAAGATCAAGCAATCCGAGTTCATTGGTAGGGTCTCTAGGTGGAAAACAGGGAGTAGCATGCAGCTAAATTTTACCCAGAGTAGTCCTACTGAATTTAACAGGCTTAACATCCCATCAGCTCCAGCCAGCATGGCCAGTGGCCAGGAATGATGGCATTTATAGTCCAGATACAGGTTCCTCATTCCAGTCTTAGCCAGCATTCACAAATCAAGATGGTTAAAGAACGGGCCCAAGGTATGGGGAATTCACTCTGGTATGATTGGTGATGAGGGAAGGGCCCTCTTCTATGGCTCAATACATTTTCTTCATCATCAGGATCACACACATTCCAAAACCTGTGGAAGATTAGCAGCCAAACCTTATGCTAACTAGCAAGAATGTGTATTCTTGCTAGTTAGCATAAGAAGGGGTTAAATCCACAGAGCTGTATTGCTGATAGGCAGATACTCAGACCATAGAAATGCGATTGCCAGAGGGGATTCTGTATGGTGTCATTTCCCCTCTCTCCTGGAGAGGAAGGAGCACAGAGTACTTCCTCTTCCTCTCTCTTACGTACTTAGGTCCCAGACACTTCCTTACGATTGGTTATGCTGCAAATGTAAGTATTTTGCCTGCATAGTTTTTACTGCTGCCTTTGCTGTGGACCAATGCATCATTATAAAGCAAGAAAATCTTATTTTTAAACTTGCTCCCCAGATTGTTGCCTTATTCATTCTCAAGCTTTGTGAGGAGGGGGAAGCCAGCTTGCTTTGTAGCTAGATTTGCTCAAAGGAGGCTTTGCAGCCTCATTCCTAGGCTTCTGGTTTTGCTGCCAAGGACAGGATTTTGAAAGTCTGTTCAACCCAACACACGTGGGTGCTTGGAGGGATAAACTGCAATTCATATATCCTCTTCTACCTTTTCAACCCATCCCGCAGAACCAAACCTCAGTGTCCAGAACAGGATCAGTCTTAAACTCAAACTCAGCCACGAGAAAAGCCTGCTAGATGAAGCCAATGGTCCATCTAGAGCAGCCGTTCTCAACCTGTGGGTCCCCAAATGTTGTTGGACTACAACTCCCATCATACCTGCGCTCTGGCCTTGCTAGCTAGGGGTGATGGGAGTTGTAGTCCAACAACATCTGGGGACCCACAGGTTGAGAACCGCTGATCTAGAGCCAAGCAGATGCCATGGGGAGACCCAAAAGCAAGTTCAGTGTCAAGCAACGCTCTTGTCTGCAGAACACTCCTCTAACATAATGCAGGTCCTGGGCTGGAATTTCTGCCTAAACCGTCCTCTCAGCCGCAACATTTTTGGGCCTCACAGGGAGCTGCTGGCTGTATTTTCCTGGCCCGCAGTACAGGTCTGGATTAAACGATACGACCGCTCATGCTATCTAGCCTCCAAATCCCCTGAAAATGACTGCATGTGTTTTCCGTCCAGGAGGAAGGGTTGAATTTAGGAAGGAACAAAGAACACTGCCTTATACCAGACCTAATTCACGGACAGTGCCGGGTGTGAGGGAGGCCCCAGCCGTTCCACAGTGACCACCCCACCCCACTGAAGCAAACAGGCTTCCCAACAGTGATGGTGGCCGTGAGCAGCAGTAGCATCAACGAACGTGTCAGATAATCTACCCCCACCCATTCCATTCATTGGAACAGCCCCACAATGCCCAAATCCTGCACTGGCCCAGGGCACTGTGGGGACATCAGTCACCTGCCACTGCAAGATTCCTGAGCCACTTCTCATTTGTGAGGGCATATTGGGTTCTGGCTACATTTGGTGTGGGAAATCCATGATTGGATCAAGGATTAATGTTTGGGTCTCCTGATACTCTATTTTAAACCAGGTGTCTGTGCATTGCCAGGAGGCAAGGTCTGAAATGAACTGGAGCAACAGAACCTGAGAAAATAGGTTCCCCTTCCTTCCTGTAGCATTTCTCTGACTTCTTTCCTGCACTCACACACAAAAACCAGCTGCTATTTTTGCTGCTAGAGAAAAATATATTTACCTGCTCGTAGGACTTCTCTAAACCTACTCAGATTTGTTGTCTTAAACCAGTGGTTCTCAAACTATTTTCCTCTGGCCCACACTTTCAGAATAAACATTTGCTCACAGCACACCAGTTTTCTTTTTGGGAAACAAAAAGAAGCAACTCTTAGCATGTGCTGGAACACAGCAACTTTATAATATGATCGTGGGACATCCAGAAAGTACAGTGGTACCTCGGGTTAAGAACTTAATTCATTCTGGAGGTCCGTTCTTAACCTGAAACTCTTCTTAACCTGAGGTACCACTTTAGCTAATGGGGCCTCCCGCTGCTGCTGAAGCGCGATTTCTGTTCTCATCCTGAAGCAAAGTTCTTAACCTGAGGTACTATTTCTGGGTTAGCGGAGTCTGTAACCTGAAGCATCTGTAACCCGAGGTACCACTGTATAAAACAACGCAGCCACGTAAGAACACAAATCATTCCCAAAATATAATATTGATGAATTTTCCTGCCACACTTGCCATCCTCTCCTGCCATTGGTGTGGTATGCCACACCCTTTGAGAACCACTGTCTTAAGCTGTTATTTTATTACCACTATGATGTGGTGGTTGTTATTATTTTTAGTTACCTGGTGTTATTCTCCCAGAGTAATGAAAATTCACCTCAAAGAGCTTTTGCTTATTAGGGGAGAGAAGAGTTTGTCCCGTGTTTTTATGATGGCGTGAGGGCAGCAATGCCAGCGGGTCCTGCCAGGGCTCCCCAAGGTTCATGCCAGCCTTTCCCTATAGCACCTATTCTGACTGGCAGCTGCTCTGCAGGGCCTTCACTGGATGCCAGCAGAAGAGATCATGTGTTGTCTGCCCTGAAAGAACCAGGTTCCTTGCCTCCAAGCTAGACATGTGCTTCCTTGTGCATTGTTTCAAAGGTTATGGGGCAAGGTGTGGTTGTCTATGTAGCTAAGACAGATGCTGTCATTCAACAGACCTACACAATTCTGATAGGGTAGCTAATGCATTGCTTGAGCATTTGGCCTGACCTACCTGGCAGAACTTCCAGGCCAGAGGGCATGTTTTCAAGGCATGCTCAAACCTCAGCATCTATCTGTGTGCGTTGAGTACTGTAACTAGAGTTGCCAAGTTGTGGTCTAGGGATGTCTCATATTCCGGTGGGGATGATTCACGAGGCTTTGTAGGATGGTGCAGCTGTTGGTCCTGCTGATGCATTATCCCAGGGATGGGGAAGCTTTGCAGCCCTCCAGATGTTGATGGACTCCATTTCCCATCAGCCCCAGCTAGCATGGCCAATGGTCAGTGAAGACTTGTAGTCCATCAACATCTGGAGGGCTGCAAAGGTTCCTCAGCCATTAGTCGCCTTGCCCACGCTCTTCCTGGGCCTGCTATAGCAAGCAGGAATCTGATTCCATCCCAAAGGAGTCACAGGAAGTAGATAAGGAAGGGGACCAATGGGAAAAGAGGAGAGGGGCAGCCAAAGTTGCATGGTCTCTTGAAAACATGTGACATTTAAAGGACGTTACACACCATCTTTGAGTTGCAACCTGGGAAGCTTATTTGTAATGACTGCAGACTGGAGATAGTCTCACTCTCATCTCCAGAGGGAATCAGGGATGTTTTTATTTTAGATAATCCAAACGCCTGCCTTCCTTTCTTGCTCCTTCGGCTCATAAACCAAACACTGTGCTTTATTATTGTTGTCTTCTAACTAGACTTTGTCTGCAAAAATCTGGAGTTGCGATCATCTCCACGATGTGAAACAACATCTGCAATGGCGGCTATTTCACAGAGGAAGATTCGCCTTTCTAGAACCTTCTAGAAAGGACACCTGAGCATAATCTCAGAGTTACACTTTCCAAGACTCTTGGTGGGAGAGAAGCCATCACATTTGAAATCCATTTCAGAATCGTTTCAGTTTGTTGAGAAGAGGTGCCCGGGCGCTTTAACCCAATATTGCCAACCAGTCCAAAGGCAGAGCAGGGTCACCTTCTCTCACAGGGCAGGGTCACCTTCTCTCACAGGAACCGGCCCACCCCCTGTGATCCATTGGACACTGTAGGCCGTGCTCTGCTTCCCATTGCCATCCAATTGGCTGGCTGGGCTGCCAGAAAGGGCCCTTTTCTGTAGGGGACCATAGCTGTCAACGTTTCCCTTTTCTTGCGAGGAATCCTATTTGGAATAAGGGAATTCCCCTTAAAAAAGGGGAAACGTTGACAGCTATGTAGGGGACCCACATTGTGGAATTCCCTTTCCCCCAAGAAGCTCATTAGTCTACCTCCTCTTATGACTGGCTTTTAGATGGGCCTGTTGAAATCTTGTCGTTCCATGATAGGCCAGGGCTGGGGGAACCTGGAGCCCTCAAGACATTCTTGGACTCCAGCTCCCATCAGCTGCAGTCAGGAATGATGGGAGATGGAGTCCAGCAAAATCTGAAGGACTGCAGGATTCTCTAACGTGGAATTCATTTCAGTGCATTTCCCACCACTTGTTTTGCTTAATCTCTGTTCTATGATGTCTTGTTTCCTTTCATCATCACCATGATTAATATGCCAGAGAGTTTTTTGTCTACATTCCAAACTGTTTGGAAGGTTTCTGCCCAAAGATGGAAGGAAGATAAAGTACCTACTGGAGAAGAATGGCTGACAAAGATGATGGACTATGCTGAAGTGGCGAAAATGACTGGGAAGATCGAAGATCAAGAAGATAACAAGTTTAATAAAGAATGGGGGGAAATTTATAAGTTACCGTACTTTTTGCTCTATAAGACTCACTTTTTCCCTCCTAAAAAGTAAGGGGAAATGTGTGTGCGTTTTATGGAGCGAATGCAGGCTGCGCAGCTATCCCAGAAGCCAGAACAGGAAGATCCCTCTTGCTGTTCTGGCTTCTGAGATTCAGAATATTTGTTTTTTTGTTTTCCTCCTCCAAAAACTAGGTGTGTCTTGTGGTCTGGTGCATCTTATAGAGCGAAAAATACGGTGCTTAAAAGAACACTGTGTAAACAATTAAAAACACTGGCAGGATTTTAGAAAACACTTGCACTGTAGCGAGAACTATGGTGAGAATGGAGTATTAAGAAAATATAGAGACAATTATAAGATGCATTTGGAAAAGAATAACGAGGGGTGGAGGGGAGTCCGGGGATTCAGAGAAGCCTATGTGTTTACGATTATGATTCATTTGCGATGGTAATCATTAAAGGCAAAAATGGATTTAAAAATTTTTTATTTTATTTTTGAAAGGAAGGTTCCTGGACCAGATGAAAACAAATCAATAATAGATACTAGAGTGGCCATGTGTCCTACTTCACAGAGAACAGCCCTCTCTTTGAAGGACCGTCCAATCCAAGGGCACCTTAAAGATAAAGAACTACAGGAAGGGAAATCAGAGGAATGGGCGTAGCTCAGTGGCAGATCACACACCTTGCAAGCAGAAGGCTGCAGGTTCGATCCCTGGTCTCTCCAGGAAAGGCTGGGAGAGACCCCAAGTCTGAAACACTGTATACAGTAATGAGTTAGATGCACCATAGCTGTCAACCTTCCCTTTTTTTGCAGGAAATTCCCTTATTCCAGTGCTGTTTCCCACTGCTTCCTGCTGCTATCCCAGATTGTTAGATATCCCGTAGACTGTCCCTGGGACAGGTGAGGCTGCTGATCCCTTATTTTCAAATCTGAAAGTTGACAGCTATGAGAGTATGCAGCAAATTCCTCTGTTGAGGTGGAGCAAGCAGATGGGGCACCTGGTTACTGTCTTCTCTGACAGGGTGAGATGGATTTCTATTCAAATCACAGTAATCATTTCTAAACTTGCATCTCTACATATAAACTAGCAAATGCATGTAAATTATGCAAATCTGTGTCTTTTTGTGGTCCACATTTTTCTGTGATGCATAACTGGACTCACACATAGATATTTACATATTTGGGGGCTGCTTCCTTGGAAATTTTTAAGCAGAAGTCGGGTGGCCATCTGTCATGGATGCTTTATCTGAGTTTTCTGCATTGCAGGGGGTTGTACTAGAAGACCCTTGGGGTCCCTTCCAACTATTTTTTATTATTATTATTATTATTATTATTATTATTATTATTATACTGCCCTATACCCGGAGGTCTCAGGGTGGTTCACAAAACAGATCACAATATATAAACTCAAAATAAAAACAATAACCCAATAATACCACCCCCCAAGAACCACATTTTAAAAGGGCATAGGATGTAAATTGGATCAACCAAAGGCCTGGTTAAAAAGGACTGTTTTTGCCTGGTGCCTAAAGGTGTGTAATGAAGGCGCCAGGTGAACTTCCCTGGGGAGAGCATTCCACAGATGAGGAGCCACTGCAGAGAAGGCCCCGTTCTCGTGTTGCCACCCTCCGTACCTCTCGAAGAAGAGCCTTCTTCACATGAAGGAAGGCCTCAGAAGGTGACCTCAGGATCTGGGTAGGTTCATATGGAAAGAGACGGTTCTTGAGTTATTGCGGTCCTGAGCCATTTAAGGTTTCATAGGTCAAAACCAGCACTTTGAATTGGGCCCGGAAACTAATCGGGAGCCGGTGCAGTCGGACCAGGACCGGTGTAATATGCTCAAACCGTCTTGCTCTGGTGAGCAACCTGGCCTCTGAATTCTGCACCAGCTGAAGTTTCCGAACCAACTTCAGAGGCAGCCCTACGTATAACACATTGCAGTAATCGAACCTAGAGGTTACCAGAGCACAGACAACAGTAGTTAGGCTATCCCTGTCCAGATAGGCAGATCCTGAAGCTGAGGCTCCAATACTTTGGCCACCTCATGAGAAGAGAAGACTCCCTGGAAAAGACCCTGATGTTGGGAAAGATGGAGGGCACAAGGAGAAGGGGACAACAGAGGACGAGATGGATGGACAGTGTTCTCGAAGCCACCAGCATGAGTTTGACCAAGCTGCGGGAGGCAGTGGAAGACAGGAGTGCCTGGCGTGCTCTGGTCCATGGGGTCACGAAGAGTCGGACACGACTAAGCAAACAAACAAAGTCCAGATAGGGGCATAGCTGGGCCACCAGCCGAAGGCACTCCAGGCCACCTGAGCCTTGAGCAACAGCAAAGGATCCAGGAGTACCCCCAAGCTACGAACCTGCTCCTTCAGAGGAATCGTAACTCTACCAGTCTAGGATTCTTAAACGCCACCTTACCTGCGCTCCCTTTTTTCCTTCTGGATGTCTTCTTTTCCGTTTCGCTCACCACGTTACCTGCCAGGACGTAGTCTTCGCTCGTGCCAATGGCGGCATCCACCACATTTGGGCCGCTGCCCTCTGGCTCTCCGGAGACCAAAGCCAGCTCGGCCGCCAGACGTCGCCTGCCCTCTGCGGCTGCAAAATGCCACGCGGGGTGCTGGAAGGAAGAGTGGTGCTCATCGAAAGCTCGCTCGTCGCGGGGAAGGCTCTGGGGGGCTGCAGCCAGGCAGGAATTGGAGAAGTCCGAGTAGATGCCAAAGTCCGGTTTGTGGTGGAACGAAAAGGGGGCTTGTGGGTAATGGTGTGGCCCAGTGGTCCCTCCGCCCTCGGCATGCTGGTTTCGCAGGCAACCCCAGAGCGCATTGGTAGGGTGAGAGCTTCTCATGCAACTACTGGCAGCAGGTGGATCCATCTAGGAGTGCCTTGTTTCTTAAGATGCTCTTCAAACGCAGTTGCAAAGGGAGCCCGATGGTCTAACTTTCTGCTCAGGAAAAGAAACCGGTCCTCTGCAGCTAGACAGCTCTCCAGCTTGCTGCCGTGGCTTTGCCGGTGAGGGGAAACCCTGCAGAATTCTCCATAGCTTCCACAGGAGAAACTTCACATCTGTTGCATTTGAAGCCCGAAGCTTCCTTGCTGTGAAGTGCTGAAGCCCAGAAAACACTTTTTAAATACTTTGCTGGGGTGTGAGTGACAAGCTTAGGAAGGGAAATGTGAGAGAGGAGCGAGGGGGAGGGCTTAACCTGCATGAACAACCCCTCCAACCCAAGCCAAGCATGCAAGCTATTAATCACCCGAAACCTTAGAGGCGCATCTAATGGGAACTGCAGATGGAGACTTTTAAAGAAACATTGTCTGCACTTTTTTTTTGTAGAGGGGGCGGGAGAGAAATGTACACACGCACACAAAAGGAGGGTTTAATGTTTCCTTCTCACACACTGGAGTTATTTTTATTGCCCTGGTAAAGAAAACCCTTCGTCTTCCATTTTCAGAAAAGGACCCACGAGCCAGTCCAAAGGGGGACAAGATAAGAAGGAGAAGTCAGGTAAAGAGGGGAGATATTTAAAAATCTGAGGCGTGACCTAAAAGTTTGAAAGCTTATGCAGAGAGTGAGGCGCAAAGACTTCAGGAATGGTCTAAGCAAAGCTGCAGAACGAAAACCCTGAGTTGCTTCGTGAATTTAATTGCTACATGGAGGGTTAGGCTAACAAGGACTGCTAGCCGTGATGGCTCCGGCTGAGTATGAAGCACTTGCTTTCCTTCAAAGAATTCTGGGCACCGTAGTTTACCTCCCATAGAGTCACAATGCCCAGCAACCCTTAAGAAACTACAGTACCCAGAATTCTTTGAGGGGGGAAATGCGTTTCAAATTCCCTTTAAAGGTATTGTGTGTGTGCAGCCTATGTACTTGCCAAAAGGGACGTGGGTGGCGCTGTGGTCTAAACCACTGAGCCTCTTGGGCTTGTCGATCAGAAGGTTGGTGGTTCGAATCCTTGCAATGGGGTGAGTTCCCGTTGCTCTGTCCCAGCTCCTGCCAACCTAGCAGTTCAAAAGCACGCCAGTGCAAGTAGATAAATAGGTACCGCTGCGGTAGGAAGGTAAACGGCGTTTCCGAGTGCTCTGGTTTCCATCAGGTGTTCTGTTGTGCTACAAGTGGTTTAGTCATGCTGGCCACATGACCCGGAAAGCTGTCTGTGGGCAAACACCTGCTCCCTCGGCATGAAAGTGAGATGAGCGCCACAACCCCATAGTTGCCTTTGACTGGACTTAACCGTCCAGGCGTCCTTTACCTTTACCTCTTATGTACTTGCCTCTTCTGTTAAAGGCTGTTTGCCTCTGAATACCTACAGGTGTGTGGGTGTCCCCCATACTCTCCAACATTCCTCTGATGAAAATAGGGACATCCTATTCAATAATAAGAATAAGAATAATATCATTTATAACACGCCCATCTGACAGGGTTGCCCCAGCCACTCTGGGCGGCTTCCAACATACATATAAAAACAGTAAACATTAAAAAGCTTCCCTATACAGGGCTGCCTCCAGATGTCCTCTATAGGTTTCCTAGTTACTTATCTCCTTGGCTCAAGGGATTGTATGACTCCATACCCTCCAACACTTCTCCGATGAAAAGAGGGACGTCCTAAGGAAAAGCAGGTCATTCTGGCATCAAATCAGAAACCGGGACGGCTTCTGTAAATCCCTGGAAAATGGGGACACTTGGAGGGTCTGTGACAGTCACAGGACTATGTATATATGCTTAACTTTCCTTTCTGGTTATTTTACAAAGGCATTTTAAATTCAGTGGATGTTTCTGTACTGGATAACTGCTTTATTGAATCCTTTGTCATACCATTACCCAAACCAGAAGCATTCATTAAAGCATCCATAAACCCTTGAACTCATATTCTTTCGCGAAGAGCCCTGAGTTGAATTCATAAGCCTGGAAGTAAAATTCTAGACATCATATTGCGGCTTTGTTCAAATGAATGCGGGATATACTTGGATCCAGGGCTCAGTCCCCCAGCATTTGCCAGCAGTGCTACAGTTTGGCCTTACAAAATCTAATGTAATCATACAAAGAAAAGAGCTTCTGATAGGGTAGTCCCTTATGCATCACCCAACAAGAGGACAAAATGGGACTGAGATTTGCATGTAACTTTCATATGCTACCTTAAATAGGTGCAAATTTAGATATACCGTATTTTTCTCTGTATAAGATGCCCCCGTGTATAAGACGGCCCCTATTTTTTTGAACCCAAATTTAAGAAATCAGTATTTTAAACATCAAATGGAACAACATTGAGCTTTTTGTAGGGAGGTCGCCCAAAGTTGTTGAACTTTTTTGAGGAAAGTTGGCCAAAGTTCAAAGTTGCTGAGATTTTTTTTCTGGATGTCACCATATTTCAAGAACCTGAGACCCGAAACCGAACCCCTGTGGATTCACCATCCGTATGTAAGACAACCCCCAATTTTTGACTATGAAAAAACATCATCTTATACACATCTTATACATCAACCCCTACAATGCAGGAATCCTGCCCACAGGTGTTCTTGGGTGGGCTCAATCCACCAACCTTCTGGTTATGCACTGAGCCATTGTGCCACCCTAGCTCCTGAGCATGCACAGAGTACAATACTTCATATGAGCTTCTAGGTACATTTGAGACGCAACATCTCGCTTTCTGGAAACTGAATATTGTGCAAATCACTTGCAGATTAAGGTTGACCGCTAGCCAATATTTCATGAGCCTGAGCTATAAAACTATGTCCCGTCAGATGCTAACTGTACTGGGGAAATGTTGTTTCCATCTAGGGACTGGGGAGAAATTTGATTCATTTCACATTTCAAGGCAAACCTACATAATTCACACTTTCTAAAACCAGTATGCAAACACTGAAACACAGATATCCATTGAAATTCACTTCTCCAAATTTTTCAGTCCGATTCTCCACCCAAGCAATGTGTATGAAAATGCATTTGCGGGAGGTAAAGCTTGCATAATGATGTGTGTCATTGCTGAAAATAATATAGAGAAGTATTTTTTAAACTGCTTGTCCTCATCCCAAAGCCAGTAACATCCAATTTAAATGTAGCTCTAGCTCCTGTCCCTGCTTGGTTAGCCTGTTTTTTTTAGTTTTTTTTTTTTAATCAGAATTTAGCAACCCTCCCTACAAGTGTTATTTGAATGAACTCTTTTCATATCCCTTTGGAGAGAAAATTCTCAAAACTGGGAGGGCAGGGGAAGGACTGATCCTGCAAGAGCAATCAAACATCAATACCCCTATTCCTACCCAAGTAAAATCACAGAGGCAGCAAGCAGGGGACGACGACTCTTCCTTGATTCTTCTATTGACCGCTGACTTCTCTGCCTTCCGCAATATTCAATCTGCAGCGTCAAAGTTGTACAGTGGTACCTTGGGTTAAGTACTTTTTATTTGGAGGTCTGGAGGTCCATTCTGGAGGTCCGTTCTTAACCTGAAACTGTTCTTAACCTGAAGCACCACTTCAGCGAATAGGGCCTCCCGCTGCCGCCGTGCCGCCGGAGCACGATTTCTGTTCTCATCCTGAAGCAAAGTTCTTAACCTGAGATATTATTTCTGGATTAGCGGAGTCTGTAACCTGAAGCGTATGTAACCCGAGGTACCAAGCTGAGCCCTCTTTGGCTGAACCTGAAAATAAAAAAATAATAAATAAATAAACCTCACACAACCTGTTTTCCTTCTCTGTCGGGATTCTCATGCCAAATGGCTCCCACTGGCAAGACATCGATAGTTGATTTATGAGGTCATGTCTGTTTTTGTAAACACGGGCTTAGAAGAGGAGGCTGGGGCGAGGAGAGCCCTAGGGCAATCCAAGAAGTGGAGTCAAGAACAAGGGAAGAATGATAGAATCTCACAGAATTGCAGAGTTGGAAGGGACCACGATGGTCATCTAGTCCAAATGCAAGAATCTTTCGCCCAAAACGGGGCTCAAACCCACGACCCTGAGATCAGTACAGTGGTATCTCAGGTTACATACGCTTCAGGTTACAGACTCCACTAACCCAGAAATATTACCTCAGCTTAAGAACTTTGCTTCAGGATAAGAACAGAAACTGGGCAGCGGCGGCGCAGCGGCAGCAGAAGGCCCCATTAGCTAAAGTGGTGCTTCAGGTTAAGAACAGTTTCAGGTTAAGAACAGACCTCCGGAACGAATTATGTACTTAATCCGAGGTACCACTGTAGTCTCATGCTCTGCCGACTGAGGTGCCCTGAATTATCCGCTCTTGCTAGCCATCCAAACGAGATTAATGGATCTGAAAGGAACCAGGAGCTCATCGTCTGACCTCTGCCCCTGGGAAGGATCTTTGACGTTAGTCACCTCTTCCCTGACCAGCAAAATCCAGCCCTTAATAAGCTTGCCCACTGACCAGCAAAACACACCTCCCAAGACTTTATCAATATCCTTGCATCGGGCAGGGATCTAGACAAGACGATCTCCAAGGCCTTGGTGTGCAGAAATTAGGAGAATAAGCTTCTCCATGGCCCGGGTTGCACACACAAAAAGGCTAACTGATTGTAGGGACCGAGATTACAAAGCAGGAAATATTTTTTATGTATGCGACGACAGCCGCACGGATGCTACTTGCCCAGAGATGGAAAGAAGACAAGGTCCCTACCAGAGAGGAATGGAAAACCAAGCTGTTGGACTAAGCCGAAATGGCAAAACTGACTGGAAAGCTCATGAACCAAGAAGGCCAAAACTTTAATAAAGAATGGGGGAAATTTATAATTTACCTGGGAGACCACTGTAAGCAGACGGAAACATTAGGAGGATTGCAATAACGCTTGTAACGTAGCAAATATTATGGACAAAATGGAGAGACATAAAATAATGATTACTAAATAATATGCAGTTGAAAAAGTTGACAATAGGACCCATGGAGGGGAAGGTGGGAAGCCCTGAGATTCAGAGAAATCTCTAAATACGGACTTTTTTGTATTGTTATAATTCTATACAGTACTTGTAAAATCAAATAACAATTATTTTGTTTGTTTTTTTAAAAAAGGGCTAACTGAGCCCTATGGCACCCCAGCTCCTCGGATGTTGCATACACACAGGGTTGGATTTAGGTTTGATGAGGCCCTAAGCTACTGAAGGTAATGTTGTTGTTGCTGTTTAGTCGTTTAGTAGTGTCCGACTCTTCGTGACCCCATGGACCAGAGCACGCCAGGCACTCCTGTCTTCCACTGCCTCCCGCAGTTTAGTCAAACTCATGCTGGTAGCTTCGAGAACACTATCCAGCCATCTCGTCCTCTGTCGTCCCCTTCTCCTTGTGCCCTCAATCTTTCCCAACATCAGGGTCTTTTCCAGGGAGTCTTCTCTTCTCATGAGGTGGCCAAAATATTGGAGCCTCAGCTTCAGGATCTGTCCTTCCAGTGAGCACTCAGGGCTGATTTCCTTCAGAATGGATAGGTTTGATCTTCTTGCAGTCCATGGGACTCTCAAGAGTCTCCTCCAGCACCATAATTCAAAAGCATCAATTCTTCGGCGATCAGCCTTCTTAATGGTCCAGCTCTCACTTCCATACATCACTACTGGGAAAACCATGGCTTTAACTATACAGACCTTTGTTGGTAAGGTGATGTCTCTGCTTTTTAAGATGCTGTCTAGGTTTGCCATCGCCTTTCTCCCAAGAAGCAGGCGTCTTTTAATTTCGTGACTGCTGTCACTGAAGGTAATAAGGCCCTTTATATGTCCAGCTGTCCTTTGTCAACAACAAATTTTCACTCTTTTGGTGTTGAATATATGCTGTATGGTAATTTATGGACCTAATAGGTATCTAAAGCTATTTGCACATAACAAATAGGAGCCTACACAACACAAAACACAGCTGATGTATGTAGGTTTTATCTTATTTGGTTTTTATCTTATATTTTGGAAATGTACATCCAGGTGTTTTTTCCCTTTAATTTTTTTGTGGGCCTCCAAGAGAGTGGGGCCCTAAGTTATAGCTTGTTTAGCTTATACAGTGGTACCTTGGGTTAAGTACTTAATTCGTTCCGGAGATTCGTTCTTAAGCTGAAACTGTTCTTAACCTGAAGCACCACTTTAGCTAATAGGGTCTCCCGCTGCTGCCGCGCCACCGGAGCATGATTTCTGTTCTTATCCTGAAGCAAAGTTCTTAACCTGAAGCACTATTTCTGGGTTAGAGGAGTCTGTAAGCTGAAGCGTATGTAACCTGAGGTACCACTGTACGTAAATACGGCACTGCACACACAGCAACAGAACATTGCTTGACATCAGGACATCACCCCGGACATCACCTCGATCATCTTGCGAAGATGGCACCCCTGGTCTGAGAGATTTTTCAGGACGTCCCTCTTTTCATCAGAGAAATGTTGGAGGGGATGTGTTTTCCCTGCTTCTTTCCCTGGGAAAACTCACTGTTTACCCCTGATTCAGAGCAAACGCCATTCCACAGAAAACACAAACACACATGTCCTCTGCCGCCCTATGCTTCTCTTTAGGGCTACACAGGGCAGTTCACATTCTTCAGTAATGGGAACCCGTGACCCCTTCCGGCCGTGACCCCTTCCACAGCTGCTGTTGTCAGGCATCTCCTCTGCAGGGGGGCAGCGCTTTTCTCTGGGGGGTGGGTGGGGGGCAGGAGGGAGAAACGGCCTCCCCCTCTCCTCCTTACTCGTGCAAAGCAATTTGTCATTAAGAGATAGACACCTTTAACCTCCGAAAAGTCACCATCTCCCACATTCACGGCAGGACAGCTGGAAGACGTTCTTCTGGTCAAGCGTGAATGCCAGATCCTGGCTTTGCGATCCCTGTGTGTTTGTGTGTGACAAAGCTTGCCCTTTAAGGTTTGTTTTGCTTTTCTGTTAGTAGGCAAAGCTCACAGCAAGGGGAAGAGGAATGCCCCTTGGTGGTTTCTTTCCAGGGCTCAGTTGGTAGAGCACCTGCTTTGGGTGTCGAAGGCCCTTGGCTCCATCCCAGGCAGGGCTGAGAGGGTCCCCTGTATGAAAACTCAGAGAGATGCTGCCAATCAGTGTAGACAGTACTGAGCTTGATGGACCAATGGTCTAACTCACGGGTAGGCAAACTAAGGCCCGGGGACCGAATCTTGCCCAATCACCTTCTCAATCCGGCCCGCAGACAGTCCAGGAATCAGCGTGTTTTTTACATGTGTCCTTTTAAAATGCATTTCTGAGTTATTTGTGGGGTATAGGAATTCGTTCATTTTCCCCCTTCAAAATATAGTCTGGCCCCCCACAAGGTCTGAGGGACAGTGGACCGGCCCTCTGCTGAAAAAGTTTGCTGACCCCTGGCTAACTCAGTATATCACAGCTCCCTGTGTCCCCGCCACTTGTTAGCATTTCTCAGTATCATTCATACACACACACACACACACACACACACACACACAGCGGTACCTCGGGTTACATACGCTTCAGGTTACAGACTCCGCTAACCCAGAAATAGTGATTCAGGTTAAGAACTTTGCTTCAGGATGAGAACAGAAATCGTGCAGCGGCGCAGCAGCAGCAGGGGGCTCCATTAGCTAAAGTGGTGCTTCAGGTTAAGAACAGTTTCAGGTTAAGTACGGACCTCCAGAACGAATTAAGTACTTAATCTGAGGTACCACGGTATATATATATATATATATATATATATATATATATATATATAATTTTTATTAAATTTTCTGTTTTACAATTTAAAGCACTCATTTTTACACCCTTAAGATATCAATAACTTCCCTTCTTCTCTTTCCATGGTTCATTTTACGTAACATAAATCCCTGCATATTTTACATAAACTAAACCATTCAGTACTCTATTATTACACCCATCGGAACTTATTTACACTGCTGAATTTATCTTCATGCTGCCAGCGTTTTCAGCTGTAAGCAGCATTTCTCAGTATCAATACTTCAGCATTTACAGAATGCTTTCAAATGTTCCAAGTGCTTCCTGGGCATTACAGCCATACCTTGGTTTTCAAACAGCCTAGTTCTCAAACGTTTCGGCTCCCAAACGATCAAAACCTAGAAGTGACTGTTCCAGTTTTCGAACTTTTTTTGGAAGCTGAACATCCAACGGGGCTTCCGATTGGCTGCAGGAGCTTCCTGCGGCCAATCAGAAGCCGCGCTTTGGTTTTCAAATGTTTTGGAAACTGAACGGACTTCCGGAATGGATTCCATTCGACTTTGAAAGGTACAACTGTATCTTGATTCAACCCTCACAGCAACTCTGCAATTTGACAGATGGGGTGGCACTGAAAATGAGACTGTCCTGTTTAAGGTGACTGAGTGAGTTTATAAAAGGCTGTTTTTCAGATTCTGGGAGATCCTGAATGTTCATTCTTCCCCCCAGCATGTTCAGCACTCCAGAATCCCACACTTTCTTAGGAAAGAATAACGCTCCATTTCCCAAGCCCATCCACAACCGGATCCTCTCCTGCTTTCCCTTCCAACCCCAGGCTGATCTCTTTGGCTCTTGATAAGTTTTCTGACATCATATTTCTATATTGCTAATTTTATGGCAGTGCGTCTTATCGCACAGGATTACTGCTTCCGACGCTGATGAAATGTGCTTGGGTTTATAATTGCCTTTCTCTCTCCACTCCTTCCACCCCCCAAAGTCACAGGAAACATGGAAATACAGTTTAGGTTCATGAGAGGGTCCTCTTCGCCGGAGAACAGAGAGCAAAGAAACAAGGATATCTCCAGGAATCCTTTTTTTATTGTGCATTTGTGATGATTTGTGCTCAGGATGCTATTGGGGCAGTCACATGCAAATAATAATAATAATAATAATAATAATTTATTTATACCCCACCCATCTGGCTGGGTTTCCCCAGCCACTCTGGGTGGCTCCCAACAGAATATTAAAAACATAATAAAACATCAAACATTAAAAACTTCCCTAAACAGGGCTGCCTTCAGATGTCTTCTAAAAGCCAGATAGTTGTTTATTTCCTTGACATCTGGTGGGAGGGCGTTCCACAGGGCGGGCGCCACCACCGAGAAGGCCCTCCGCCTGGTTCCCTGTAACCTCACTTCTTGCAGGGAGGGAACCGCCAGAAGGCCCTTGGAGCTGGACCTCAATGTCCATGATGGGGGTGGAGATGCTCCTTCAAGTATACTGTTTGTACCTGCAAAAGGTTTTGGGGTAGACATTCTACTTCATTTCCAATCTGCCCTTGTCCCCTAGCTTCCTCTGTTTTAAAGGTATTGAATGGCGGTCTGCCATGGATGCCTT